CAAACAACGGGGGGGGGGTCTTTGGCTGCAGGCTGGAACTCAAGAGCAGAGGTGGAACAGATTCACGGTGTGATCTCAGCACTCTGTGGATGACTGCGCGGGCCAGGGCGGCTGGGACGAACGTGGATCCGGACTCCAGGGCAACTCAAGTCCCCCCCCCGCCACCCCAGTTGCTTTCCCTTTTTAGAGGGATGAGAGTGGCCTTGCCAACTGGGACACAGTGTCTGGGCATCGGGCAGTCTGAAGTTTAGGGGACAGCTGCTCAGGGAGGTAGGTCCCCAGAGTGCCTGCTGCCTGCACCTGTTGGGCTCAGGCAGGAAGTCGTGTCTGGGCACATCCCCTCCTGCTGGGGAGGGGAGGCTCTGCTCTCACTCCAGCTGTCCCTGGCCAGCCTCAGTCTTCGGGGTCAGACCATCCTGTGTGTCTTTCCACAAAGTACAGAAACAATTTATAGATAAAATACACTGAAGTAAAATTTAGATTGTTGAAGAAACATAAAATAAGATTTTTTTTGTTGCCTCCCTCCTTTCACCCCGCCCCCAGATAGTACTGATTTGAAATAACTGTTGGATGATGCGTATGCATGGTCCCTACAGGAAGGAGCACAGGGACGAACATAAATGTCCCATAAGCTGATGCTTTGATGCTTTGTCACAAATTAGGAGTCGCCTCGGTGGAGCACAGTGATTTTGGAGTCTACTATGTACATAATGCATAAATAGAGCTATTCTCATGGTCTGAGTTCAATACCTCCCCCAAATTCTTTAATTGTTTAACCATTTAGGGCTGTGTTTGATCACTTCTCCTCTAGTGTATTTAAATCCATCCTCTAGACCTGTGTGTCCAGTATGGTAGCCACTAGCCACATGTGATCATGCAAACTAAAATTACAACGAACTGATTTAAATGAAGAATTTAGTTTCTCGGTCACCCTAGCCACACTTGAGGCACTCCACAGCCACACATGGCTAGTGGCTGCCTTATCGGGTAATGCCGACACAGAATATTTCCATCATTGCAGAAAGTTATATTGGACAATGCTACTGACCTTTGCCAGGAAACAAAATCTTGGGCTGTCTGATGTCCGAGTCTTATCGAAGGCCGGTCCAGAAGAAGCAGTGTTTACTTGAGCTTGGTGGAGAAGTGCCCATTCCTGTGGTTCCTTTGAGTTTTAGCCTTGACCCAAGCAGGACCGTCCACAGTTCTCCTGGGTCACAGCGTCTTGGCTCTCCACAGAGCTGCTTTCATTGAGTCACGTTTTGGGGTTCTGTCCAAGAACTCATTAAGAAATAACCTCGTGAATATTGCTGCGCCAGAAAATAAAGACTTGCTGGAATATAATGGGGATCTGTCAAAGGGATATGGGTGCCAGTTTGGTGGGGTGTTTGCTGGCCGAATCTGAGGGTAATTGAGCAGCACCATAAATAATGATAAAATGGGTTACAGGATAAATCCAGCATGGAAATGCGTCCGTGCTGATGTAAGTTAATGTGTGGAGGAGAATGTCAGACCATAGAACAATGCAGAAGGCCTGACAGAACTAGAACATCACCCTTGATGCTCTTCAGATTCATGTTGCTTGAATCTTGCTGACTTGAGTAAGAATCAGCGATAGAAACTATGGATAAAGAAAGGCTGGATATGGAACAAAACACATAATAGGAAAGTATCTCCTTACAAAATACTTGTTGATTATAAAGGTGAAAAACAGTAACTTCACAGGGGAGAAACCTGGAAGACACCTTGATCGAGTGTTCAAAGCTGATGTCATCAGACATGGGAAGAGTGGCTATCATGTGCCTCCTGACCGGACACACTGAGGACACAATATTTTTTTTAATGTTTCCGTGTTCATTTATTTTTGAGAGAGAGAGAGAGAGACAGAGTGCAAGCAGGGGAGGGGCAGACAAAGAGGGAGACACAGAATCTGAAGCAGGGTCCAGGCTCTGAGCTATCAGCACAGAGCCCAACACGAGGCTCGAACTCGCAAACACGAGGTCTTGACCTCATCTGAAGTTGGACATTTAACCGACTGAGCCACCCGGGCACCCCCAGGACACATGTTACTTCTGAGACACTCTTGCCAAAAATACATGACCTGGGGGTGCCACGGTGGCTCAGTCTGTTAGGTGTCCAACTTCAGCTCAGGTCACGACCTCGTGTTTGGCGAGTTCAAGCCCCATGTCAGGCTCCGCGTGCTGACAGCTCAGAGCCTGGAGCCTGCTTCAGATTCTGGGTCTCCCTCTCTCTCTGCCCCTCCCCTGCTTGCACTCCATCTCTCTCTGTCTCAAAAGTAAATAAACATGAAAGGAAAAAAGAATAAATAAATAAAATTTAAAAAAACGTATAGAAACAAACCTGACCTGAATCTAAATCATGAGGAAACACTGGACAACCACAGATTGAGGGACATTGTATAAATCTCTGGCCCATACTGTTAAAAAATGTCAAGGTCTTGCGAAACAAAAAAAAGACTACAGATCAAAGAGCAAAGAGATGTGATAACAAAGTGCAAGTGTGATTCCAGATTGGATCCTGGAAGAGAAAAAAAATGTGGATTTTTTGTTTTTGTTTTTTGCTAGAAAGGACATTTGCGAAAAATGATAAAATCTGAAAGGGGATTAATAGAGAAATATATGCACATAGAAATATATATGCAAACTTATATGCATATAGAAATGTACAGTAAGAGAGAATTTTAATTTTAGCAACATAAAGAGTATTTCCTCAGAAATTTTTATATAAGTCATTCAAACCAGTTACAGTCATTGATGATGCTTCCGTGAGGGTGATTTTGGAGACGAACTGGAAAAAACTGCTCAGGGAGTCACAAACATGGCAACAGATGTCGCAGTTGTACACTGGGTGGTCTGAAAGTTTTAGCCCTGGGTGTTGTTTGGGGGAACAGAATGAATGATTACTCACAACTGTCTATCTGTAAGGCGAGAGGCTAGGTAGAGGAATGCGGTGTTTGGGCCAACTATTGGGATCTACCAATGAAAACTGAAAAAGCAGATCTATTTACGAACCCCAGGCTGCCTTCCTGGAGCGACGATGGGTGGGTGAACCCAGGGCTGCCTCCATGCACCTGTTCTCTCTCCCCAGAATGCACTTTCCTCACTGCCTATCACCAAACAAGAGTGGGTCGCCCCTCTGTCAATCTCATAAAACCCTGTTTTCTCCCTTCATGGGATTTACTGTACATTGTAAAAGTACTTTCATGTAATGCCCAACATAAAAGCTGCACAGATGTAAACAGAACTATGCTCAGAACACCACAAACCAAGGCCGGGCACCGTCACGCAGAGGGCGACCAACGCGTAAATCTTTAGGTTGGATCACTGCAGGTCCCATGGCTCGGAAGCCCCCCAGCAGCTTTACCAGGGTGCTGGTGACCTCTGCTGGTGACCTCTGCCGCAGGGTCACTGCTGGTACGTACAGGCGCTTGTGCAAATTAGGAGACTTGCGCCCTTCCTTTGGGCAGACAGAGCAGGTTTCCTTTCTCCTGCTGAGGCTGTCTCAAGCTTGGGAGTGTGGCTTGGCAATGAGTGTGTGACATGGATGGCAGTCTATGCCCGAGGCCCTTGTGCAAAGCACAAACTCATGACTCAGGGGCCCAACCCACGGCTCGGCTTATTTAACTCATTTTAAAAAATGTTTTTGGGGTGCCCGAGTGGCTCAGTCAAACAAGTGTCTGACTTTGGCTCAGATCACGACCTTGCAGTTCATGAGTTCAAGCCCCGCAATGGGCTCTCTGCTGTTATCATGGAGCCTGCTTTGGATCGTCTGTCCCACCGCCCCCCACCTGTACCCGCACACACACGTGCTCTCTCTTTCTCTCAAAAATAAAATAAATGTTTAAAAAATAAAAAATAAGTAAAAATATTTTAAAATTACCAATGTTTTAAATTCAGGGAAGGCCGCATAAAATACAGACCTGTGGCTTTTCTTCAAAGCGCACATTCTGCCCCCCTTCCATCATGGCCATGGCGGGATGGAGTCAGGTGGAGTCAGGTGGCGTCACTCTGCTCTGCCGATCTCAGGCTCCCCTTCACCCCCATTGTCCTGGACTCGGAGGCTGAGGAGAAACTTGTCCTTCTTTCATGCCCTGTTATTTTTCCTAAACCCAACCCGCTTTACTCGCTTTCTGTGACTGCCTCGCTTTTAAGCATTCAGCCCCTGTTACAATCTGACTCTCCTTTGATCACAAGGTGACACACCACACAAGGTGCAGAAAAGTGAGAGCATCTCTTTGAGTCTTGCCGAAGCTCCCTGCCTATGACGGTCTCTGAGGAAGGGCGGCCGCACCTTGCACTTGAACGCTGCGTTTCTGGGCTTTGTATCCGTTTGCAAGCTCACACGGTCCGTGCCTGTAGGGTTATGGCGGATTTGCAGGAAAGACGTTGGATTTATGTCGCGTGTTGATTGGGGGGGAGGGTACAGCTTCTGGGAAGGCACGTACTTTGGGGAAGGTGAGGGACCCCAGGAGCTGGATAGATGTTGCAGATTGAGGGGGTGGGACGAGGGAGAACAAACAGCCCACGGGGTGGGGGGTGCAGGGGGAGGGGGGAAGTAGCCGCCGGGCACTCCTTAGGATTCTCCTTCCTTCCCCTTTCTATAGAGGCTGATGCTATTTGTGATGTGAATCTTTGATAGGCTGTCAGCCAGAAACGCTTGCTGGAAGGAAGGCCATCTGTCCTGGAGGCTGAATGCCAAGTTGTGGGGATCTCCCGAGGAACATAAAGCCAAAAAAGAAAAAAAAGAAAAAACCCGAACTTATTGCAGAGAAGGAAGATCTGACATTGACCTTGTAGGGGCTTTGACACCCCTTGGCCTTCAGTGAACTTCCAGAAGCCGGAGGGCCGGGTTCCTCCATGGCATTCCAGCGTTGCCAGCAGAGGATAGCTGTCTCGTCAGTGCAGGCCCTGCTGTGTATGCTAACGTGACTCTTCTGAATCAAAGAAGGCACCTGCTTGTCAGTATCGTGCGGCGAGCACCCATTGTCAGCATCGTGCGGCGAGCACCCAGTGAAGTGAGATGGTAGGTATTCAGAGGCACCCAAATGCCACCAGTTGGCGATGTCTGGGAGACACCTTGGCCTGGGAAAGCGAGAGGCAACCTGGAGCAAACGGATCCCCTGTAGAAGGGGAAGGATAAGGGTCTCCCCCCTCTGTGGAGATGGACCAGGCTGGCACTTATCAAGCACTCAACAAAGCTGAGTTCTTGAGAGAAGCTGTGGTGTGCAGATAAGGAGACAGAATGGGCAGTAAGCGGAGTGGGTCAGTGAGGGGCTTTCGTTCCTCTTGTTTGACAGGAGATGGTGGAGCATGTTGGATGGCTGAAGGGAATGATCCAGTAGATAGCAACCGATGACGCAAGAGACAGAGGGGTGATGGCAGAGTCCTGGAGGTGGGTTGAGCCAACGGGGTTTAGGGCCCAAGGGGAGAGGTGGGCCTGGGTGCAAAGAGGGTACTCGGGGCATCCAGCAAGAGCGGTAAGGTGAGTGCGTCTGCAGCCACGGTGCTGGCTGCACTGATGGAGGAAGAGGAGTGTTTTAAGCAAAGAGTATTCCTCCAAACTGAAGAGAGGCATTTAAGCAGAGGCATTAATATGAGTTTTCATGGGGGGAGGGGACATGGAACTTGGGATGTGACTGAGGGGCCACTGGTAAGAGGAGGGGCCAGGAAGTGGCAGCTTTGGGGTTTCACCAGAGCACGTGGACTCAGTGTCTGTGGAATGGAAGGGCCGAGAAAGGGAAAGGGGAGCACCGGAATAGAGAGGGGAGATGAGTTCTCACTCTTCTGTAGTCTTATTTGGGCTGTAAAAAAAAGTGTAGTGCTCCAAAGAAGACATCCAAATGGCCAACAGGTGCGCAAAAGGGTGCTTGACATCACTAATTATCAGGGAAATGCAGGTTAAAGCCACAGCAAGATAGCTCCTCCCCTACGTCGGCATGATTATTGTCAAGAAGACAAGAGATAAAAGTTATCAGGGATGTGGAGAAAGGGCCCAGACCCACCTTGGACGCTGTTGGGGAGGATGTAAATTCGTGGAACTACTATGGAAAATGGTATAAAGGTTCCTCAAGAATTAAAAATTACAACTACCGTATGATCCAGCAGTCTGACTTCTGGGTATATAATCCAAAGGAAATTAAAACAGGATATCAAAACTAGGATCTCTGTATTCCCATGGGTCTACTGTAGCAGTCTTCACAATAGCCAAGATGCGCAAACAATGCGTGTCTGTCCGTGGGTGAGCAGGTAAGGAGAATGGTATTATTATTCAGCCATGAGAAGGAGGGAGTTCCTGCCATTTGTGACGACGTGGGTGGGTACTGAGGACATTATGCTTAGTGAGATGAGCCAGACAGAGAAAAACAAATACTATATGCTATTATTTACATGCAGAGCCTTAAAAAAGCCAAACCTGGGGCCCCTGGGTGGCTTAGTCGGTTGAGCGTCCGACTTTCGCTTAGGTCATGATCTCGCGGTTCGTGGGTTCGGGCCCCGCGTCGGGCTCTGTGCTGACTGCCGGCTCAGAGCCTGGAGCCTGTTTCAGTCTGTGACTCCCTCTCTCTCTGACCCTCCCCTGCTCACACTGTCTCTCTCTCTCCTAGAAATAAATAAAACATTAAAAAAAAAAATTAAAAAAAAAAAAAAAAAGCCAAACCTATAGACACAGTACTTGGGGCTACGTGGGGAGATGGGGAGATGCATATGAACTTGCAACTAGAAAATGAAGAAGTTTTGGAAATCTAACACTCAGCGTGACAGTCAACAATACTGCATTACGTACTTCAGCTGCTAAGAGACTAGCTCTTAATGGTTCGCACTACAATAAAGAAATGATGATTGTATGGCATGATGGGGGTGTTCGCTAACACTAGGGTGGTAATCATATCGCAATATATAAATTTCAAATCAATACTTTTTAAAAAAAATTTTAATGTTTATTTATTTTTGAGAGAGAGAGAGAGACAGCATGCACAAGCAGGGGAGGGGCAGAGAGAGAGAGAGGGAGACAGAATCTGAAGCAGGCTCTGAGCCGGCAGCGTAGGGCCCCACGTAGGACTTAGACCCACGAACCGTGAGATCATGACCTGAGCCAAAGTCAGATGCTCAACTGACTGAGCCACCCAGGCGCCCCTCCAATCAACACTTTAAAACCTATGCAATGTTCCATGTCAATTGTATCTCAATTAAAACAATTTTAAAGCTTTAATACTTTTTTAAAAAGAAAAAAAAAAAACTGAGTACTCACCAGAGAGCAAAGTAACAAAAATTGTCTGGGAAGCTGCCTGGGCCCAATGGCCTAAGGAAGAGGGGCGGGAGTCCAAGGGGCCGGATGTGGGCACGGGTTCTCACACAAAGTGCTCCCGTGGCAGCCCTGGGCCCACTGTCTACACGGAGGTGCCTGACAGGTCTTTCCTAGTAAAACTCTGTCCCTCAGCATTTCTTTCAATACTAGATGAAATCACCAGACATGGAAAAGGGATCAGGTGTGTAAGGGTGAAATGGAGAAAGACATTTTAAACCCATCATCAGTTGCCCCAGAAGGAGATTCTCTTTCTGTTTAAAGAATCACAATGTGGGGGGAAAATTGGACTACTGTTTTTGAAGGACTGACTCCACACAGTAGTAAGCAGAATCGTGCCATACAGCATGGCGTGTTAGAGTGACTCACAGGGACAGCTCAGGGGACGAACAAACGGGTTCTGCAGCTTGTATTAAAAAAAAAAAAAGAGGTCTGAAGAAAATGCGTGATTCTGCTCAAAATTAGAAGAGAATTAAAGTGTTAAAACAAAACCCGTAAGCTGACAATAACATTTGTAGAATTTGGTTCTTGCGGTCCCTCAGCGTGAACTCTGGAGGGCTCCGTTGGATGGCTTGGGTCAAGGGCAAAGCGTCCTGGGCCCGCCTGCTTGGCTGGCTTAGAATTCGCTGCCTCTGACTTCCTGCCGTCTTAGGTCCCATCGAACGACTGTTCTGGTTAAATCCAAGGTCATTTGAGCTGATTCCACTGAAGCCCTCGCAAATGTTCAAGGCAAGCAGCACTTTAGAATTTAGAAAAGGAGTTTTCAGTTTTCTCAGAACACACAGTACCATTTATACCTCGACCGAGTACACAAACACACTGATTCTAACAAACGTGCTCAAAACGTTTCACAGAACGGTATCTCCTCCAGAATTTATACTGTATTCCAATCTTTTTTATTCGACTCCATTCATTTATTTAAAATGCTGCTAAAAGCCCACTAAATTGAATTTATATCCACTACTAGGTTTTTCACCAGTATGAACAGCACAGGTTTAGAAAATGCATTTTTCTCTATTATATTTATAGTGGAATGATAGATAGCTAAGATTATAAATGGAAAAAAGCTAAAAAGGATTTGATGTTGACATTCAGGGACATCTGATTTAAAGAACAAAGGGGACAAAAATATTTATTTAAAAAAAAAAAAGAGCAGGGCACCTGGGTGGCTCAGTCAGTTGACTGTCGGACTTGGGCTCAGGTCATGATCTCTCAGTTTGGGAGTTCCAGCCCCGCGTTGGCCTCTGTGCTGACAGCTTCGGATCCTCTGCTTCGGATCCTGTCCCCCTCTCTCTGCTCCTCTCTCTCTCGCTCTCTTAAAAATAAACATTAAAAATTAAAAAAAACAAAAAAACAACAACCAGTAACTACCACTCACTTCCTGCTCTGTACGCATTACACTATTAGGCTCTTCACAAATGCTTTCTCATTTCCCCAACAACCTGTAATTCAGGGAACTGTTGTTCTTGTCGAGGGAAGAACCCCCAGTCTCACAGGGGAAGGCGAGAAGGCACAAGGGTGATGGATCGACTTGCGACGCCCCCTAGTTGCTGGAGGTAAACAAGACCCAGGGGCGCCTGGGTGGCTCAGTCGGTGAAGCGTCCGACTTCAGCTCAGGTCATGATCTCACGGTTCGTGGGTTCGAGCCCCGCGTCGGGCTCTGTGCTGACCGCTCAGAGCCTGGAGCCTGTCTTCGCATTCTGTGTCTCCCTCTCTCTCTGACCCTCCCCTGCTCACGCTGTCTCTCTCTCTCAGATATTTAAAAAAAAAAAAAAAAGGCGACGGGCCAGAGTGGGACAGCGTCTTGCACCAGCAGCTCTCACGTGATGGGTGAAGCACCCTGCTGCAGTCCTAGCACCTCTCCTGGCGGGGGGGGGGGGG